TTTTTTTTTTTTTTTTTTTTTTTATTAAAAACATTTGAATTAAATTGAAATTATGAGTGTGTATTTTAAATTAAATGTTAATTAATCTATATACATAAGCCAATAAACCAATTTTCAATTACAATTTGTCTGAATTAAGATTCCAAATTACATATTTTAATTTTTAGCTTGTTTAATCACATTAAACCTCCCAGTCAACTTTCTATGAACTGTGATTACAATTACTTTAAAAATGGAATAAAACCAATGTGGGAAGATCCAAGTAATACTAAAGGAGGTCGTTGGCTATTGCAGTTACCTGCAGCAAAATCTAATCCATATGTAGATGAATACTGGAAAAATATTGTAAATAGTTTTTTTAATTATGTATCTGTGTAGTCAATTGCTTGAAACATTAAGTCAAATATAATACTGAAAAAACTCCCTACGGAGGGATTTAGTTTTAAACAATCAATTATCATCCTTTTTATCAAAATAATTTATATTTTACATTCAAAATTTATAAATTTGTGGTAATTAAACAATAATATATTAATCAATAGATTATTTTCTACAATGCATTTAAACTAAAATATTAGTTAAATATTAATTTTATCAATTTTATAAAAAAATGTGCTTTTATATTACTATCATTAAGTAAATTCACGTAAAAATAATAATTCAAAATTTTTTTTTGATTTCAAATTAATTTATATTTATTATGTCCTTTTTCGATATTGTTAATAATATATGTAATATTCTTTCATAAAATAAAGTAGGTGGTGTGGTTGGATTGTTTTGCACCAATTTTTATCTTAATAAGATAATTTTTCATTTATAAGCCTTATTAATATGTAATATTGTTATAAAACTCAAGTTTATTTTTTATAATAATGGGTAAATAATGGTAAAAAGTTGTGGAATAACTCTGGTTTTAAAATAAATAAAATTCTTTTTCTTTTAAAGAATAAAAAATTTTACTTAAGTTTTATTTCCAAAGATATAATTTACATATTACATAAAATATGAACATTTAATAAATTTAGACTGTTATATTTTCAGATAATGAGTATAATTGGTGAAGTATACAATGAACAAAGTCATGAAATTAATGGAGCAATAGTTAATGTGCGAGGAAAAGGAACCAAAATAGCAGTGTGGACTAATAATGCCTCGAAAGATAATGCTGAGAATATATTAGCTATAGGGTAGGTATTTCAAAAACTTTAATTTATTGATGAGGTCTGGTAATTTAAAATAAATATCTCATTAATTTAGTTGAAAAAAGCTGCTTCACTTTTTAATATTTTTTTAATGAATGTTGTTTTTGGATGGTTAGCAAAAGTATAGAACTTTAAATTTTGAACAAAACTGAATTTATATCAATTGACATTAAGGTTTTTTAATTTTTTTGTGACAATATACAATATACATATTCTTGTATAATAATAATTATTAGTATTTAACAATTATTGTTAAATACTATAATATTACAAAATTTATAATATCATTACAATATAAATAACAAAACTACTATCACAATTAATTTTAAAACTTAATGTAAAATTCTTGAGCGTAACGTTCGTTTGGGTAGAGATCTAATAACTTACTGAAAAGCAGAGACATTGCACCTGCTACTCTTATGGTTGTTATAGTAGCATTTTTATTGTTCTTAAGTGATTTCATTGTACTATCCTACCTATTTAATTTTAAACTCGACTTGTTATTCACATTCTTATAATAAAATTATATAGTTAATAAAAGTTTTGATTTACAGAAAAAAAATTCGAGAAATACTAGGGTCTCAAAATGAAAAATTGGTGTACGAGTCTCATACAGATACAGCAACTAAAGTTGGATCATTCGCCAAGCCTGCTTTTGTGTTATAATTTTTTTAATTTATAAAGAAGAATTATCCCAGTTATGATAAAGACACGTGGGGCAGCTTATCATTACTGATAAAGTTTATTTTTGTTAAAAATACATCAATTTCGTATTGTAACAGTATGTTTATATTTAATATCAATAAAACCTGTTTTCCCACTGTAACATATCAAGTTTAATTTTTTTATTTACATATTTACCCACTTTTATCTATATATTGTGATGGTTATTGGCAGTTATAAACAATATTATTATTAGTAAAAGTGGCCCTTTGTTCATAATGCCCAATAAGGTATTGTACATCAATTAACTATTTATTACTACTCGGATTTTCACCTTAATTATGCTAATTAACTTACAAACTGAGTTACATATTTAATTTTAGACTATGAAAACTCACAATTTTAGTATTAAAAATCGAATGGAAAATTTAAAATACGACAACGAAGACGTCCATTTATTGAGAGACTCGTGGAAGTTGTGGTATTGGAAAATCAATTCTGACGAATCTCTTAATTGGATCGAGAATTTAAATGGTTTATGTGAGTTTGATAATGTTGAAAAGTTTTGGAGGTAATTATCCTACTTACCAAATTTATACCTACGTATTCACAATTTATTGAAGGAAGAGAATAATCTAGTTTACTCAGTTAAGCTAAAATTATATCCTATCAAATAGAAGAAAGATTTTACAGAAATTTAAAATAACTGAATATTAGCATTATATTATTAAAAAAGCTCTTTCTAATAAAAGGGATGAACCTAAAAATTATTTTATAAAAATAAGTTCAAATACATATGTAACTAATAAAAACCCCCAAAAAAATAATGTTCAAAAAACTTATTATTTTAAGAAAATTAAGTGATTAGTGTTACAAGAATCACTCTGCATTTAATAGAATACATATTTATAGATTTTATTCAAGATGCATTTAAATTTTATCAAAAAACTATCTGTTTACCTAGTTCATAATAATGTGCTTATTTTACTATTAAAATACTAGTAGCCCAGTGTAACAGATACCTAGGCACATAGGTAAAATTCATTAATGACTGAGCTAGGTTGGGTGTTTACATTTTTCAATTTTAATATTTAAACTGTTTAAATTTTCCTTATTTTTTTAATTATAGCATCTTTAATAATATAAGAATGCCTAGCAAACTTAAAATTGGATGTGATTACTCAGTTTTTAAAACTAATATTAAACCAATGTGGGAAGACAAAGCTAACAAAAACGGTGGTCGTTGGCTGATAAAAGACAATGGATTGTTAGACCATTATTGGATGGATTTAGTAATACATATAAATCTAAATATTTTTAGAACTAACTTTGAAGTCAAAATACATTTTCATTATTTATAGTTAATGAGCATGGTTGGTGGAATGTATGAACCTTATAATGATCATGTTTGTGGTGTCGTTTATAATAAACGCCATTTGAACAAATTATCAATTTGGATTTCAACGTGTGAAACAAGCGTTGTTAATGATATTGGGTATAAGAATTCATTAAATTTTTCATGTTAAAATAATCAATATATATTAATTTAACAATTTCAGATCAAAAATCATGGAATATCTCAAAATAAAAGAAAAAATTGTATTTGAAAAACATAGTGATAATTCAATAAAAAAAAAAACATATACTTTTTATCATACTTCCAAAATAAATGACTCATTTAAGTTGTAAAAAAAATATTATATTATGACATAAAATTTTAAAATAATTTCTTTTATTTAGAAGTTTTTTTTATTGGTTTGATGATAAAACAGTATTTTCAAAATACTTACTATTATACAATGTTTATAATGTATTAATTGAAATATTCATATTTCATGTAATGAATAACTATTATGCAAAAACTATCAGAAATTAGTATCATTAGCATTTGCATTTATCACGACATACAATTAAAGGTAAGTTAAAAAACTGATCATGTATGTGCACGAATAATACTTTTCATGACAAGTGATATTCATTGAAGAATACTAGGCACTATGGTGTTTATATAGTATTTTTAATCCTGAAAATTATCTAAGAAATATTGTTCCTTCCAGTAAAATAAAAGGAATCAATTTGTGAACTATAATTATGTAATCAAACTTCAGTATTGATTTTTATTGCCCATATTTTAATTTATACCGTAAAATAAAACTTACGATAATAATTAAAAAAACAATGAATACATTTTTTTTTTTTTATTATTATTATTAAATGTTCAAATTAAATCTATAGAAGTTTATATTTTAAATAGATTACATATAAAAGTTTCAGAATGCAGAATTTGTTGGATAAAAAAATATCAATGAAAAAAAGGTCATTATGCTAATTGACCACAGGAACCAATTATTACTTTTTCTGTAGGTAAACCAGCTTTAGTACCACATTTTTCAATTTTTTTCATAACATCTATACCGCTTAATACATGACCAAATACCACATGCTTATTATCTAACCATTCTGTACGAGCTGTACAAATGAAAAACTGTGAACTATTTGTATTTGGACCAGAATTTGCCATAGACAATACTCCTGGTCCTATATGTTTTAATTCAAAATTTTCATCATCAAATTTTTTCCCGTAAATAGAAAGTCCACCAGTACCATTGTTATTTGTAATATCACCACCTTGGCACATAAAATTTGGTATAATACGATGAAATGTAGTATTCTGAAAACCGAATCCTTTTTCATGGGTACATAAACAACGAAAATTTTCTGCTGTTCGTGGTACAATGTCTGCTCTTAACATTATAATAATTCGGCCTGCATCTTTTTTACCTATCTTAATATCTAAATAAACTTGAGGATTTTTCACTTCATCTTTACTCGTGTCATTTTCAGAATTCTTATCTTCTTTATCTTCCAAGGTTTTACCAGCATATTGAACCAACCAATCATCTTCAGACCATACAGGTCTAGTTGAACCTCTATTTATTTTTTGAGGTTTTGCTAAATTAACTCTTATTGTACGACCAAAAATTTCTGACTCATTCATATTATCAATGGCATCAAGTGCATCTTCTGGTTGTTCGAATTCAACAAATGCAAATCCACGATGTTTTTCAGATTCATAATCTAATGGAATCTGAAAGGTTATCGATTAAATTTCAAACTGATTAATATTTAAAATATATATATATATACAGGTGTCCTACCAAGTTCTGACATGTTTAATCAATTTGGTCTAGTAAATATTTTGAGTTACTTTTTTTAAAGTCATTTTTAGCTATGGAATATGGTAAAAGCATATTTTTAATTTTTCAAAATAGCCTTTTTAAGACTTTCCTTTCAAAAAAATTATAAAAATTTTAGGACTCATTAAGTTACAAACATTTTAATACAAAGAGTGAGTATGTGACGTGAGTGGATACAGCTTATACTAGTGTAAGCATAATATTATTAAAAAATAATTATAAAAGTAAAAAATATTTGCTCAAAATGTAGATCAAAAGTTATTTAAGATATCAGCACCTGTAAATATATATGTAAGAAAATATTTACTTGTACATCGACAATATCACCAAAAGGAATAAATGCAGATCTTAATACTTTGTCATCTACTTCTTCAGCTAAACCACCAATATAAACTGTTCGTTTTAAATAAGACTTATAATTGTCAGAATCATTCATTTTGAAATAAAAAATTATGTCGAACGATTAAATAACATTTAAAGCATATAATAATGAACTTTTTATAACAAATTTCAAGCCGGCTCTATTATACGTTGGAATTATTTTTCTAATGAGAAGTATCTACTAAACATAGCCGTAGATCTTATCATAACTATCTGTAGATTACACTATCAATATTTTTTATTCTTAATATCATAATCTGTTAAAATTATTATTTTTTGTTCTCGGTTGAATTTATTTTTGTAGCTGTAATTATTATATACTAAGTAATTTAATGTGTAGGAAAATGTATAGATTTTTTTAAAGTTATTAATTTAAATAAAAATTGTATTTAAAATACGATAATTACTGAAAGTCCTTAAAATTAATAATACATATTGATACTGAAACGAATATTATTTTAATAACTTTTATTATTTTGAAGTTTAATTTTATATATTATTAAATAACTGTTAATTGAAATATCATCTCTATTAGACTAAATGATGTCTCGTCAAAGTACTAGATTAGATGTTAAGAAAGTAGTAAGTTAAAAACATCCATGGTATAAAGAACTTGTTATACAAATTAAATAATCAATACCTTTCTCTGTATATACTAATTTTTTTATTTTTTCTTATTTTAATTTTTTTTAATTATTTAATATAAAAGAAATCCTTATTTATGTGTTAGGTATTTCAATTGTATTGGTTTTAATGAGGCATAATTATTATTTATGTACAAAAAGTATTTTTATTATAGTTATTGTTATGGCCAGATTATTTGTCCTTCATCAATATTAACTATACTAATGCTTAATCAGTACAAATTTACCTATAACCTAACTATGAGTATGTGGTGTTTGGGTGTAAAGAGAACATTACATGTTTGTTTTGATTAATTCAAAATACGTCAAAGTCAGTTAATACTTGCCACTTCTTATTCATTAACATAATTAATTATCACTATTGTAGTTATTATTATTAAAGTATGATCCCTGCCATCGATTCACCTCACTTGGATTACTAGCCAACATCTCTTGAGATCCAGTTAGGTTATAATTATACATAATATCTATATAAGAATAAATACTTCTTATCGTTGTTAATTGAGAGTGTATATTTTATTGGTGACAAAATTGCTAATAGCACTAATGTTCTAATAAAATAAATTTCTATTTCATGAAGAACTCAGAATTATTTACACTTACTTATGGAGCAATTGTTTCTCAACTAATGAAAGATTATGAAAATGTCGAAGATGTTAACAAACAATTAGATAGAATGGGCTACAACATTGGAATACGAATGGTAGAAGATTTTTTAGCTCGTACTAATGCTACTAGATGTAATGATTTAAGAGAAACTGCTGATAAAATTCAAGTCTGTACCTTTAATTTTTTATCTATATTTACAGTACAGTATTTTATATCTAATAAATTACAGTATGCATTTAAAATGTATTTGGGTATAACCCCAGCTTTAACTAATTGGAGTGCTGCTGGTGATGAATTTTCATTAACATTTGATACAAATCCACTTACAGAATTTGTAGAACTACCAGATAATTTTCAGAATCTCAAATATAGTAATGTTCTTTGTGGTGCACTTAGAGGATCTTGTGAAATGGTAAGAATACGATTCGTAAAATATTTATTATTAAAATAAAAATTATGCCTTATATAATTACTTAAAATGTTCATAACTTTTAGGTACAAATGGATATATCATGTTGGTTTGTTCAAGATCAACTAAAAGGAGATTTAGCAACTGAATTACGAGTAAAATTCAATAAAAGACTCGAAGATGCCATACCTGCTGGTGAAGACTAAAAATCTAAAAAATTATATTATCTGTAAATAACTATAATAATAATTATCACTAATAATTTTAAGGTATTAATATACATATATATTTATTATCTTGAAATAAATTATTATTCAGATGTTATATATCGGAGTAAAATTATTGTTGAGCTGGCATTTCATCATCACTTTCTCCCCCACTTTTTGTTTTGACTGAATCATTGTCTGATTCATGAGCATCATTTGTTTCATTATTGCCTGTTGCAAGTAAATATGCTTCCCATTTCTTTAAACGATCTTCAGTCTCCTCAGCAGTTTCAATAACTCTAATAAGAAAATCATATGTATCAACCAAGGTTTATTATACATTTCATTTTCAACAATTAAGGCATTGATATAGGAAAAATACTAAGCCCAAAATATTAAGTTTTCCTTTTTTCTTTGAAAACGATACAAATCATAATAACCTGATTAAAACATTTAATTAAACTTCTGTATAAAATAGAAATATGTGGTAAACAAAAAAAGCATTTGTCATAAGTCTGAAGCTTAGACAAACTGTTCTTTCTTACTGAAAATTTAATTTTTGTGACTTAGTATCTTCTTTATATCACCATCAAAATCAAAATTTTAAATATTATTTTCTAGCATGACATATAATGTGAGAAAATAAAATAAAAAATTAGAAAATTTCCAATTTCTAACTTAATTAGAAACAGTCACCCTTCTTTATGCTTACTTGTATTTAGTTTTTCCATCCCATATCTCAGCTGTTATTTTTCTTTGTCCAAACCAACGATTATTTAATAACTGAACACAAGCATCAGCAGCATCAGGTTCTTTAAAATTGATTTGAGCAACTCCATCGTGATGTCTCTACACAAGTTTTTTTTAAATGTATTACACTACTGATAAAAAATTATCATGAATATTATATTTAAAAAATGATTATACTCACATCATATACAATTACTTTTTTAACAACACCACATTTTGAGCATTCTTCTCTCAAATCTTTTTGATACTCCAATAGAAGTGATATGTCATTATCAAATGTTTCTTTTTCAAACAAATTTTTTACTATGACTATATTTTCATGTTTTCCTCTTTCTCCTATCATTTTATCTGGTCTCCAATCAAATAATCTGTTAAGAAAATTAATAATTTTATTTTTTTTAGAAGTTAATAATAGAGTAACATTGAATGTTTTTACGAGTAATGACTAAATATATAATGAATATTTTACACATTATGATTTTAGTATAACAAAGTTTCTTGTAAAAAATGAAAATTGTTTTAAGAATCATATTTTTCAATCATGCTATGATGAAAACAACTTATATGGTCACTTAAATACCATGTAATAATATACTTTTTTTTTTAAATTTATTTCACTATGTATATCTATCCTGATAATTATGTATAGTAACAGAATTTTCAAATTAACTTTTAAGTTTAGTAAAGGTTTAATCAGATTTCGTCATATTTTCGTCTATATTAATTATTTTTTAGTTCTTAAATTATATGAAAAGGTCAACTGATTTAAACTGGTTAGAAATAATAAAAATTGTAGAGTCGAAAATTTAAATATTCTGTTGCTTTAAAGATTTTCACAAGATTTTAAAAAATTACTTTTCTTGAATTTTTTTTATTTTTTCTTTGTCTTTGCGTTTCTTCTTCTTTGGCTTTAATGAAGGATCATATTTTTCACCGCGCATGGTAAATTTTGCGATTTCAACATGAATTTCTTTATCACGTAGTTTGTAACCATCAAGCAATTTTAACGCTAAATCGACAGATTCTCTCTAAAAATAAATAAATACTATACTATAAGTGCAAGGGGCTATATATCAAAAATCGTGATATTTGAAATTTTTATATATCTCTTCAATATAGTTTATATTTAGATATGCAAGTTACTTGTAAAAAAAGTTGACTTGAGCTTAATATAAATTTTAAAAACAAAGTAACTGTTTTGGACAACTTTGAAACCGTTTATCTCAAAACGACGAGATACGGCCCTCTTTCATTCACATTGGAAAATCGTAAAATTGAAGCAAGTTGACTTTTTTTTTTTTTTAAGTGACGTAAAAACTAGAAGGACTGAATCTTTTAAAGCCTTTTAAAATCTTAGTTTTCTCTTTTTATTGCTATTTTATTTTTATATTTATAAATATTATTTTTTTATGAAATAAACTAAAACATTTTTGAATGATCGATATGTCTTAATGCGGATGGTAAAAGTTTAGTAGACGGAATAAATGGGAGGCGGCTGTTTTTGACTTTTGTAAGGTAAACATAAAAATTATAATGGTATTAATACAACCAAGAAACTATTTTGCATCTTTTAGGTACATAATTATGATTAAAATTTAGGCAAATCATTGTTTTTCATAACTAGTCAAGTGAAGATAAAAAAATAATGCTATAGTAAGAATTTTTTGGAAGCTTATGAGGAGTAACTTGCATATGACACTGGCCGCAAGTATATTTAATTTTTAAACGACATTGAATTGAAAAATATATGAGGTCGATATACAAGAATTTGTCATAGATTCTGTCATACTTAATCTATAAATGTCAATGATGTCATCACCAATAAGTACAAGAAATTATTGAAATCAACTTACAAAAATAAACTATTTCTTAATAACACATATTTGATTATATAAACACATATAAATAGAAATAATCTATATTAATAATTTGATCACACATTCATCAAAGGAAAATAAAGAACTCTAAGATGTGTTCACTGAAATAAAAAATTATTTCAACCTTGACATTCTTAGGTAAAGAAGCGTAGAAATAATAACTTCATTGACAGGTAATACTCTAGAAATATTGAATTTATTGAGCAGTTACCATACTTTTTTATAAGCATTTACCTTATCACATAGAAAGTTGTATCATAAATCATTTTTGCTTATTGATTTATTACTGACTATTATTTCTAAGACCACAAAACGTTTTGTAGCCATAAAACGTCACACATTTATAAACAAAACCATAAATATGTTTTTATTTACAATATAATTTATTAATCAGTGCATGCTAGATAGATGACCTTAAAAAATGAATTGATGTATATTTGTTACACCCAGAATTTATTTTATTATGCTATAAAAAAAGTTGTAAAACTTTAAAAAGTTTGGTGTAATTACTAGGCTTATCGGGTCACTAGAAAATATGGTAAAAAAAAATTCTAATATACAAAATTTAATACTAAAATTATTTCGTTCTTTATATCTCTTAGACAACTTTTAAAAATGGAGGTACTATTAATAATTACTATCGGGCATAAATTTTTTCAAAGGAGGATATATAATTCCCTTGAGTGGGTAATTATACTCAAGTGTAATATTTCTAGAATGCTTTGTTGACTATCACCACCTATCCACGCCAATTTTAACTGGGAAAATTTATCACATGTGTGATATTAAATTAAATAAAAGTTTACTTAATATTCACGGCTAACTATACGACTACAACAGTTGTAGTTACTATGGTATTAGTTGATATATTAATCTATTGAAAATTTTCAATTTTATGATTGTACATATTAGTAATAATAACAATACGAAATATAACGAACGTATTAAGGAAAACACATATAGCAACCTTTTCCATAGTAGTAAACATATCTTTATTAAATATATTTTAAAAGGACACCTTGATAAAATCTATATCCTAAGTAATTTATTTTGTTTGATGCCCTTGGTACGATCCTCAGATTTTGACAAGATTACATCAATCAATCGATATATTAACTAACAAAAGCATGCTAAAATTAAACAAATGTAGTAGTAAGTAATATTGTAGCATTAAATATGAAATGTTGAAGTTAATTATTAGGTAATGTAGGTCTTATAGACGCCATAGCTGTTTATAACGCAAATTTAAAAAATACTATTTAGTTTACAAAAATTTTACATTCAAGTGTTACATAAATGAATAATACTTTTCTCAGACAAACTTTATTTAAAAGAAATACATAATGTAAAAAAAAAAAAAAAAAAAAGGTAAAAAAAACTATTCACTTATAAAAATGTCGAACGTTTCATTATTTTATATATTTTGAAAAAATATTTAAGGGTCCTATTGCCTTCCCAGTCCAATTAAAGTCATATTTATAAATATAATTAGTTATAACTAATTATAAAAAATAATCCGAATGTTAATTAATAAGTGTGGTGTTATATATTTTATCATAAAAACGTAAAATAAAAGTTAATGGAATTTTCCAAAAAAAAACGTAGAAGGGCGTATTTTAATTTAACTATACAATAACAGAGTAACAACAGTGTATTCTAGGAGTGTTTTGTATATTTATGCATTTAATTTATTTTAAATTATCTTGAACTTTTAATTTTAAATTAAACTACGTGTTTTACGAGTACGAACGAATGCCTCACTAAAATGTTTGTATAAATTTATTTTTCAATCTTTTTTTTAATAGAATTTAAAATTAAATTTAAACTCAGAAAAAACTGTGCGTTTTATTTAATAACTTAAATAATAATTATTTAATTGTCTGAAATTATTTCAAATAATTAAATGTTAACGTTTATACCTAAATCTAACAAAAATCTTAACATATTTATCAACAATAAATGTTAGTTTTTTCAATTTTGATAGAATTAAAAGAAACAGATTTAGCAAGAGTACTGACAAAGTGTGATACATCTCATACTTGATTTGAATAGGCTGAATGAATGAAGGTTATATGTATACATGATATATAGAAATTTTTACTCCTTACTGGAGATTATTTCGCATATAGTTTTGTCTGATTAGTAATACTGTGGAACTGTTAGAGCTTTCATGTTAAATATTTATTGGAGTCAAAAATACGTTTTTAGCATGAATGACAAAATATTAACTTTGTTGATATTTAAGTATATCTTAATCATTCTTTATGGTATATATTTTTATTATAAAATTAATAATTGAAATAATATTTATTAAAATAAATAAAAATAAATATACTTTCAGAGCCAATTACAGAAGCTAAGTTGATTTATAAATGTCCAAAACATTTTTCAAGATTTGGAAAGAGCTGTTACTATCTGAGTAACAAAACATTAACATGGCAAGAATCATTTTTCGAATGTAAATATCTAGCTAAAGGAAGTAAACTTGCTGTACTTGCTAAAAACTGGAATGATTTAAGTGCACAGCAATTTTTAAAGAACAACGAGAAAGGTACAATTATAATTTGTAAAAACAATGAACAAGCTAAAAATAAAATGTATATATTATATATTGTGGCATAGTAAAAAAAAATTTAAAACTCTTATTCCCTTACTTCAATTACAAGTATAAAGAAAAAGTATAAGAAGCTCATTTATAGTAAAATAGTCCAATTTTATGAGTAAAACATAATTTTCTTCAAAAATGTGCTAAAAATTGTACATATTGCATTTTTAATATATTACTTCCAATATTAAAAAAAATAATAATCCTTTATTATTATAAAGTTTAATAAACATTTTTAATTTTAATATTAAAACATCATTATCATATTTTTATTTTTTAGAAACTAATGAAAGATGGATAGGTGGAATATATGATTGGTGGAGAAACGAATGGAAATGGGCAAATTCTGGTCACAAAATTTCAAACTATCAACTAAACAACATAGTTAATTCTATGAATCCGCCACAAAATTATTGGCAATGTTTAACTATTAATCCAAAAAATAATTTTAAGTGGAATATACAAAGTTGTTTAAAAGAAAATTACTATATTTGCCAAACAAAATTTCAGCCTATGTGTACAAGTGATAAAAATTGAAAATAATACTTATTACTTTTGAATAGTCTATATTAACAAATCCATTAATAGTAAGATAAAGTTAAGTAATTATAAATGCATTAAAAAAAGCTCAATTTTTTATTACAAACTTTAATTTAATATGATAGCAATGCATATAAGACATAAAACATAGAACTTGTTAATCTAAAATAAATCTGTTAAATATTCTAAAAGAAAAAATTAATTCACAATTACCCCATTTGTTTAAATTTATATCACTTCTCTCTAAACAGTATAATATAATTTAATTCAATATATTATAACAACATATATTATATATTATTATATACTAGGTGAAGGAACAAATCTAACTAACGAGTCTTAATCCCCGTGTTATAACTTTTAATCCAATAATTGTTTCTCTGTAATTTTTAAAAAATAATTTTTACATTTGAAAACTATATTAAAAGCTTATTTTTTATTATATTAAAAAAAAATTATTTTTTTATTTGTATTTTTTCAAAATAGCCATTTTTATAATTGGAGTTACTATCCTCCTTTATGACAATGGACTAAGCATCTGTCCTGGAGTATTAATGGTTGAGAAACTTCTTTCTTTGGAGGAGGCCGCTATGGCACTTAATGATCAAAAAAAGGGGGAAAAATGTTTGAAAATGCCATTTTTCATGGTAATGTAATTTTGAAATAATTTTTTAATTTCTAAGATTGAGGAAGTTTTTTCAAAGTTTTGGCCCTGATAGGTTCAACTAAATTAAAACTAAATACTTTTGACATACAGATGATTAAAACAGTCCTGTGAGAGTAGAGAATTTTCCTGGCCAGGTATAAAAACAAACACATACAAAATTAATAACTTCTTAGCTTATATCAAAACTAAAATACGATTTTAACTTAGCCTAAGAATGTATACTATTAAAAATTTTTTTAGCATAATGTTAATTTTATCAAAAATTGTAAAAGTTTTCAGTTAAATCTCTTCTATAAAATTCTATAAATATACTTTAAATTAATTAATTTATAATAAAGGTATACTATAAAGTATTAAGTTATTTTTATACTACCCATTATATAGTAAGTTAAATGTTAACTGTTAACAATATATCTAAAAAACCTTAAGGAAATATAATTACATGAAATCTTACTCTTTTATTTTTATTTTTATTTTATAAGTTTTTAATAAAACTAAAATTTTTGAGTGCAAAAAGAGTTTATCTACACAAAATTATAAAAACACCATGTATAAATATTAATAAAAGTATTAGAATAAATAAATTCTATTTAAATTGTAATAAAGTTTTCTAACTTTTATTATAATTATATTATTATTATTATTATTTAATAAGTTATATGATTTACCTTGATATAAGTACATAGAGCATCACCTTTAAGAATGTCAGTACCACGTTCAGTATATAGTTTAACTTTCATTCTTCCAGTATCAATATCTTTCATAATTAAACCACACTTTTGCATTAAATCAATAAATTCTTGTTCAGTAATATCAAGAGGCAAATTTGAAACATATACTTTTGTATTATGTTCTTCATCAATGTCAAACCAATCTATAAAAGATAAAATAAAAATATTACTTAATAGATTTTTGTTTTGATGTGAAACCTGAGAAGTTATTAATTTTAAAATAAGGTTTATTTTTTTTTATGCCTGTCACTACTTTTTCTCACCTTTGAACGATACGCCCAAAGATCACAAATCATATCTAGTTGAAGACATTACTCTTAAAAATTAGAAAAAATTCTAGTGAACAAGGGAATATTTTTCAAAATGAGAAAAATCACCAAAAAAATTACAATTCTTAAAATAGATAAATTTTTTACATTTTTTAAACTTTTTTATCTTATAACTGTTATAACTTTTTGAAAAATAAATGAATCAAAAAATTTTTTTTTATATTGAAACCTTAGGTATTTTCCTTTCATTTTATATAAATTTTATAAAAATCTGACCCTTTACCTGCCTTTTTTTTTTTGTTCACGATCGACATGATGTTGGCCACCCTGGAGGGACTACCGTGAGGTATTGCTTCAGGGCGACCCCTTTACCTGCCTGCAGGGACTTAAAATATCAACTTTTACACAAAAATTTAACTTAAGTTTTGAAAATGTTCCAAAAATACTCTGAACTTTAAACATATAAAAAATAAAGCTTATGTTATGTACTATAAGTTCAAAAAAAAAATTTGTTTAACGACTTATCTTCTATGAATAAATGGTTGCCATATCTATAAACACATGCCATTATTGTGTTAAAATTTTCGATTATAAATTTTCAACTCTAAAATGGCATAACTGTTTGAAAAATATTTGGATCAATACAATTTTTTTTTAATAAATACTTTATGTTTACTTCTTTTAACCGATATACTTTTTTCTTAATCGGACAATTTCCCCCTATACACAGGGGACATTTAAAACTCAAAACATACGTATAAAAAGTAGATTTTTTCAATTTTTAAAAATGTTCAGGACAATACTCCAAGCTTTAAATATATGTCAAACTAAAGCTTATGTTAAATACTATATGTTAAAAAAAGAAATTTGTCCTGGCGATTTTTTCTATGTGCAAATGGATACTGTAGTTAAAAACACATGCTATTTTTTTTTATTTTAAATTACCTTAAAGAGTTTGTCATAGTAATGAGTACACCAAATTTTATAAAATTTACATGAACCTAACTTACATTAAATATAAATTTAAACTTTTTTTGTTTCCTCAAAATTAAGAAAAAAAGCTGCTTTGAATTTATGAAGTAGTTTAAAATTTCAGTTTTAGCTACAAATTAATGTAATCTATGGTGCCTGCGTCGGATATATTGCAGTCTGTAAAGCACAAGATATGAAGTTTAAACCCTACCCATTTAATTTTTCAATATTTTTTTCTTAATTCTTTTTGAGGTAGAAATGATATTCAAATTTCGTTTGATATTTATCTTATTTAGATTGTATAACTTAAATGAATATCAAGGATATCATCACAATAGTCAGGCTCTGGGATAAGGAATTTCTTATTCATATTAAAATATTTTACTATATCACAACTAGTGTCTAGTTAAAGATATTACTCTCCTTGCTTTTGAAATAATTCACCAATTTCTTAAAAGATTAAACATTCCCTACAGATTTGCATTGAAGTATTTCTTATGATGGTGATTTTAATCACTGTCAGATATTATCATTTATACTTGTGCCAAGTAGGCCACAACCCCATTGTGCTAATGTTTTTTTATTTTAAATAAATTAAGTCAAAAATAAAGACTATTAATAAAAAATGAAATATTTTATCTTATATCTATTCAAATTTACTTGGTTCAGATGATTGAGGTAATTTTCTTTTTTCAGTTTCAACTTTTTCTGTTTCAAATTTTTCATCATTAGTGTTTAATTTTGAAATTTCTTGATTTTCTAAACTTGAAGATTTTGACTTGTTGACAAGTGACTCATTTTTAAGATCAGTGTTGGTTACACCAAAACCATAACTAAGTTGATAATGGACTAAAAAGTCTTCATCTATCTATAAAGAATAAATAAACTTATCAATATATTTGTCAAATTAATTTGTTTTATATGTTATGAAAAAATATATTTTAAAAATAAATTAAATATTAATTTTTTTTTTTTTATTCCTACCCGTTTTTGGGTGTTTGATACCAGATATTCTAAGGTCAACTGATATTACTAGGGAAGGGATAAGTGCAGTGGTTTCCTGTTTCCTTCTACACTTAGGACCTGGTGCTTTTTGCCATCGTAAAACGCACGTATGATAACTCGTCCGTATACTATAGCAACAGGTGTAGCTTATCACTAGGGTATTTTCAACATCTAATATGTCCAAACAACGTCCAAATACTTAATAAAACTTTATAAAATAATTTTATCTTAACATTTACAGAATCATTTTTTAATTTTTGTTTACCAAATTTTTTTTTTGTGAAATTTCATATTTTTCATATATTTTTTGTTTTGATAACTCATTCTAGTTAATACGTTTTAATGTATTTCATAATGTAACTCAATAGCATATCCTAAATTTTTTTCAAGGGAGGGGAGAAGAGTTTTACTTAAATTTTTTTTCTTGCAAAAAATTTCCTCTGCATCGCTGATTACCATAATATTCATAAGCAAAAAAATACATATCAAAACATTTTATGGAAGAATAAAAGATTCAACACATTGGGGAGGGAATTATAACTTCTAACCCACCCTGAATACAAAGATACTGGATGAAATTTAAAAAAAAGCACAAAATATTAACTGATAAAAGTTATTAAAAATGATAAAATTTTGTGGGGCATCTTGTAATAGACAAGATTATATACTGACAATAAGTATGTCTTCCATGAGAAATCCTCTATTAGATACAACATATTTTAATAATTTAATGTATTAAATATTAAAGGTCTATTGTTTTTGGTCTATTAATTTACATACCTATGTTGCATGCTTCTTAATATTAAAACAAAAATATAGATGTGCTCCAAAAATAATTTCAATGTAATATCACCTTAGGAAACCAAGCATTTTTTTCTTTATCCCATAAATAAATGGTGCCATCAGCTGGGTCAGTATAAGTTTGTGTATAACCATCATGTCCATATTCTCCTTTAGTCATATCTTGGCGTTTGACAGTTTTCTTTTTTTTTTCTTTTTCAGTATCATCATCTTCATCAAATTCTTCATCAAAATTATCGTCGGCTCTTTCTTCAACTAGACTAATATTTTCTTTATTCTTTACCTCCCAGTTATTATTTTTTAAATTCCATATATATGTTTTACCTAAAATTATACAAAAAAAAAAAATATATTTAATTATATAATTTATATTTAAGAATTATTATTGGATGTTGAATGTAATGATTTTTATTGTTATTAAAAATTAAATATGAGATGAATTTAAGTATTATGAATGCGATTAAATTGAATTTTTGAGCAATCGTTTATCTCATCAGAACAAAATATATGATTAAATAACAGTTTCAATGTAACCTACAATTTGTATATTAAATGTAAAAAAATACTATACATCAATTGTACTTTTTAAAAGGGTAAATTATTATTCATATTAAAAACATGTTAAAACACTCAATTTTTGAGAAAAAATTGTATTTAAAAAAAACCATTAAAGATAAAAATTTACATATTAGTTTACTCTTAAATAATAACATACAATTACTACCTAAGATTTTATACTTTTAAATATTATTACCTATAGTGTAAATTATTTAAAAATTTTCAATTTTAATATCATACCCCTTGTTAACAAAAAACTACCAATACTTTAAAATTTTATTTGTTTACAAGAAGTAATTATGAATCATCTAAAATAAATTACCAGATTCTTTTTCAGTATAAGTATATGTTTTAAGAATATCATCATATTCATAATTTTCAAATCCTTTTTCTATCCATGACTTTTTTTCTTTATCCCAGATATATTCTTTTTTAGAATTAGGATCTGTGTAAATACATACATCATCAACGTATTTGTAATTACTACTATCACAATTTAGATCAGGCAAACTTGAAGCTGATGAAGGATCCATTTAAAATGTTTTACTATTCTAAACAAAATAAATTCAATAAAGAAAAATATTATCATGAAAATAATATTTTCATACATTATATATCGCACCTTAAATTTAAATTAGAAACATGTGATACACCAAACACTTCAATCTAACACATAATAAAAGAATATTCAGTGTAGATAAAATTATTAGATTACACATATAATACACATATTAAAAATTATAGCTAGTTAAAACCAAAAACAGAATCATAATTAATTAGTAAAAATACATTAATAAGTAGATTTGAAAAATTTTGCATTAATTCTGTTTACCTTTTTTCGGCTCATTGATAGTTATGCTTAATCCCAAATAGATAAGATTATACCTTAAGATAGTGATACGCTATTGTCATAATTAGTGATTACAAAATCGATGCAACTTCGATATTAAACAATATCGATATTTTGTGTAAGAATATCGATTACTATATATCGAGCTCAATTTATATCCATTAACCGATATCTTGACCAAAAAAATCGATATATTTATAAATAAGAAGTTTAAATAAATTTTTAAAAATTATTTTGATTTTGTTAAACTAAGTTTATTTTCTCTCATCTTATCTACGATTGACGCTACACTTATACTCCCTCATATATGTTCGTTCCTTATCTTATCTTCTCTAGTCACTCCACTCATCCATCTAAGCAATCTGATCTCTGCTACACTCATTCTCTGCTCTATTTTTATAATTTTATTTTGGTTTCATAAATCATGACATAATCACCAATTCATCAATTTGCTAAAAATATTAATTATTTATACCTAGATAATTATAATTATTTGCATCAAAAGCCTATAATTATCAAAAGCCTTTAACTTATTTATTGAAATAATAAATCATTACATCGAACTTATCAATATATTGTTGCTATCCTTAGCCACTAGTTATACGAATATACATATTAATTTTTATAGCTTAGAATTACAACAAAATCGAGTGATTTACCAAGTTATAATTTTATATAAAAATAAATATGTGTGTAAATACAAACATTTTTAATTCATAATTTTGATTTAAATTTTTTGATTAAAATATATAAATATATAAATATTCTTTATTTATTTATTTATTACTAAATTTACGCCCCAAAGGGCAAGAGTACAGATTAATATAACATAACCAAGACATTAAGCAAAGTAAGAAGTTAAAACAGAAAAAATAATTATTGGGTATACAATTAGTATTAAATACGAAAAAAAAATTAGTATAGATTCTTTACCTATTAAAATATTTAAATCCATCTCTTTAAAGTAGCTATAAAATTAAAAAAAAAACAGTGGGGCCGTGGCATAGTTGGGTCCAGTATAGATGATATCTGACAGTGATTAAAATCACTATCATAAAAAATGCTTCGATGCAAATCTGTAGAGAGTGTTTAAATTACAAAAAAAAATTTGTTAAAATAGCATATTTTTGAATATGGTAGCCATTTGCGCATAGAAGATAAGAAAATAAGCTTTAATTTGATATATGTTTAAAGGACGCAGTATTTCCGGAACATTTTCAAAAGTTCAGTTGAAAAAGATCTATGTTTTTTACAATATTTTAAGTTTTGAACGCCCCCTATATAAGGGGAAATTGTCCAATTTTAATAAAAAGTATGTCAAATGAAAGATGTACTTATAATGTATTTAAAAAAAAAAAATTTGTGCTGATATCTCTATTTTTCAAAAAGTTATAGCATTATTAAGTTGAAAATTTAAAATCGAAAATTTTAACACAAAAATAGTGTTTTTTTAACTACGGCAGCTGTTTAAATGTAGAAAAAAAAGTGTCGGGACAAATTTTTTTTTTTTCATTTTATAGTACATAAAAAAAGCTTTAATTTGATATATGTTTGAAGGACGCAGTATTTCCGAAACATTTTCAAAAATTAAGTTGAAAAAGTTATTTTTTGTAAAAAAGTTACTATTTTAAATCCCCCTCCATGAGCAGGTTAAGTGTTAGATTTTCAAAAAAATGATGTCAAACAAAAGGGAAATATTTAAGGTTTTAGTAGAAAAAAAATTTATGTTGATTTGTTGATTTTTCAAAAAGTTATGGAAGTTTTAAGNTAAGGTTTTAGTATAAAAAAAAATTATGTTGATTTGTTGATTTTTCAAAAAGTTATGGAAGTTTTAAGAAAAAAAAGTGAAAAAATTTCGAAAATTAGCGATTTTTAAATTTGTAATTTTTTTGGATATTTCTCCTATTTGCGGGGAACGAGGGAATTTTTTTCAATTTTTAAGGGTAATGTCTTCAACTAGATACAATTTGTGATCTTTTGACGTATTTTTGAAAGAAATCGGTCCAGTGACAGCTAAGAAAAAGTGGCAACAGTCATAAAAAAAAAAAATAACACATCATAGTAAAATTAATACCTTCTCCGCTTCGCATCGAAGCTAAAAATTAACTTTATTACATATTTCATTGCATTCCATTAGCAACTGAAAGAACATTAAAAGGTATAGTATTAAGTATTTCTGGACAGTCAATTTTATTATTCAAATTAACCATGTATCCAGCAAACGTCAAAGATTTTCCGTCGCTCAGTTAGACTGGTAATTCCAAAATCTGAAGCAACTAAACTCAACTCAACATCGTTACCACTGTATCCTCCCACTTTCACTGCTAACATAAGTAGAAATCGTTTTTGAATTTTTTCAAGTATATTACTGAAGTAGCTTGTTATGGTGAACAAATAATTGAACCATATTCGACTATGGAATGCAATAGAGCGCAATATAAAACTTTTAAACAAATAGGATTTGAAAACTCCCAACAATTTCGCTTAAGAAAGTCTAACATCCGCAGAGCTTTATTATATATAAATGTAATAGTTCGGTGAAAGATAAATTTGAAGAAAGAATTACACTTACATCTTTAATATGCGAAACATTTATTAGATTAATGTTTGGCCGCCGATCATTTGTAGCGCCACTTGTATACAACCGGTTAACGCGATCGAAATTGTTGGCGTCGTCGTGTACGGCGAGTATGTGTTTGGTACCTATACTGGGACGATCCTATGACGGACGGTGGGTGCTTCAACTTGAGAGCCCACAACTCAGAGATCTGTGATCGTCAATTCAATACCAAAGGTGGATTTGGATGCCCATCCACGAGTTTATGGTGTCGAAAAACGTGTCTGGTCCTGGTCTATGAAGAAGTGAAGTAACCATGTTGCATATAAACCATTTAACTATAGTTGTGTACTAATGGTAGATTAATTTATGTATTGTGGTATTTAATAATAATAAAATTTACATTTGTGTTGTCAAAGAATATTCTTTCCTTTAGTTAAGTAAAAGCAATTCGTGTCCACTTAGGCGAAAATACTGAGTGACCAATAAGTGTATTTGAGTCGGTGGCATATCAATTAATACTATTTATATTATATACATAAAGTTCAAATGAACGTTTACGACAAAAATGATCTGAAAACATTTACACATTCAATCATAAACCATTGACAACGTAATAGTTATAAAATCTGCATAGGTCATCTTGGAGATTAAGACTGTCGGCAACTGTACGGGTACTAGAATAAATTTTTACATAATCGCCAAAAAACAAACAGTTAGCATGATGGAAAATGTCAGCAAGATCATTTATGAAAATTAAGAAGAGTAATGGAGATAAATGCTATCCCTGGGGAACCCCAGAAGTAACATGGATAATGGAAGAGATAATATTATTTATCTTTACTTGCTGCGGCTTGTCTGTAAAGTAAGAAGCCAACCATTTAAGTAATGGATCTTTTGCTTCAATATATTTTAATTTATCAATTAATACCACATAATTTACTGTATCGAACGAATTTTTCATGTCCGTATAAGTTGCATCAACCCGACCACCATTCCCAACAGTAGAAACAATATTAGAATAAAATACAAGTAGGTTGGTAATGGTTGATTTAGAGCTACAAAAGCCATATTGGCAGTTATTTAGCACATCTTTCAAACTTAATAATAATTCCGGTTCTAATAGTTTCTCAAATATTTTCGTTAGCGCACTTATGGTTAGTTTAGAAATTGGTCGATAATTACACACGTAAGATTTGTTACCTGGTTTAAAAATAGGGGTGATATAACTTGATTTCAAACGTACTGGAAAAATACCACACGACAAGGATAAAGGAAATAAAAAATGGATGGGACAGGTAAGCGGATAACAGCAGGAACTAAAAACAATACCAAGGACAAGGTCAGGACCGTACGTAGTATCTGTATTTAGTTGAAGTTCATAGAAAACTTTTAAAAAATGCATTACCTAAAAATGTATGTTTATTTAGCCTTATATTTTTTAACTAAATTAAAAAACTATTTTTTATATATCTTAAATTATATTTGCAGTATTTATTTTAATATAAATATAAAAGTTATTTAATTTTTTTACGTTTACTTAAAACATTCCGTCAGAGCCGTATTAACGTAAGTTCAATTATAGCAAATGCTCCAGACAATAAAATTGAATGATTTTTTCATTTTATATTACTATAATTTTCAAATACAATTTTTATTGAAAAAAAAACAGAAAAATTATTTTTATACACTTAAATGTAAAAATTGAATTTATAATAATGGTTGCATTCGTGTAACTATAAACAAAAGAAGTTTTTTTTTTAATTTTAATAAGGTGAAAAAAAATTAAGACAATAAAGGAACTTATTTTTATTACATTAAAATTTAATGTATGTATTTATAATATAATATAAATATAAATATTTATAATATGTATAATAAAATGTAATGTATTTTATTTAATAAAATCTTAACTATAATTAAATTATATAAGATTTTCTTCTGATTTTGATATTTTAAGCTTATATTTACATAAAATTCGTATTTGTCAAAAACCAAATTGTATTAAGTGTTAATTGAGTTATAAATTCTCCAATTTATTATGTTATAAATACATTTCAGGCTGGTGGTAAACAAAAAAGTATCATACAAAAAAATGTAATTATTATTTAAGACTCTTCATTAAAAAATCATGATAATAACTTTAATGTTATGCACCAAAAATACTTTATCAGGTGTTTTAAGGAACTTAGGATTAGTCGAGTATTTACACTAAACATGAAAAAGAGATAAAAATAATTTAATACTTGTTTAAAATTAAAGGATCAGTATTTTTTTTTTTTATTAATTATTTTTAATTTTATTATATAAGAAATTAGGGGATTATATCAATAGCAAAATGAACTACTATTTCCGTATTTATATCCTGATTACAAGTTTTATGATATATAAGTGTAATATATAAATAAATATTTAATAAATTTTTTCAACTTTGACGGCCATTTGCACATAGAAGATAGGTCGTCCGGACAAATTTGATTTTTTAAACTTATAATACGTAACAAAAGCTTTAATTTAACATATGTAAAGGACGCAGTATTTCGGGAACATTTTTAAAAGTTGAAAAAATTGACTTCTGTAAAAAAATTTCTATTTTAAATCCTCCCATGTGGGCAGGTAAACAATCAGATTTAAAAAAAATGTATATCAAATAAAAGAAAAATACGTATGGTTTTTATATAAAAAAAAATTATTTTCATTTGTTCATTTTTGAATATTTTATGTCAGTTTTAAGAAAAAAAATGTTAAAATTCACTGATTTTAAAAAAAATGTAATTTTTTTGGAGATTTTTCCTATTAACAGAGAACGAGAGAAATTTTTCAGTTTTTAAGGGTAATGTCTTCAATTTGATATGATTTGTGATATTTTGACTTATCGTTGAAAGAAATCGGTCCAATGAGAGCTGAGAAAAAGTGGTGACAGCCATAAAAAAAAATAAACCTTATTGTAAAATTAATACCTTCTCAAGTTTGTATCGAAGCTAAAAAAAGTTTATCGAATATACAAAAACATAGTAGCTAAGTCTTATACAAAATATGAATTATTTAATTATTATATTTATTATTGTAATAAACTGGTTGATGTAGCTTAGAAATAGCTTTTTCAACGTATTTCTGATCACCCAAAAACTGCATAGATGTGATTACATTCATATTTTTATCGAATGTGTAAATTAAAGGTCTACCAGTTGGAAATTCTTTTTTACAAGTTTCTTGTTCAGTAAAACCTGTGTTAAAAAATGTTTGTTTATAAAATTATCAAATAATCCCTTGAAAATGAAAAGCTTACCACTTAAAATCTTGGATAATGCTCGCAATATAGTACCATGAGTCACGATTAATATTGTTTTTCCTTCACTTATATAAGGAGAAATTTCACCTTCCCAGTAAGGTTTTACTCTTTCTAAAGTTGTTTTGAGTGATTCAGAGTGATGAAATTCTTGTATGTTCAAGTCTTCAGCGGCATTTAATTTAGGATTACTCCAAATTTTCATATAATACTCGTGGTCCGAGCTCATCACAGGAGGTAGTTCATTATAACTTCTCCTCCAATTATTAACCTATTATGATGATAAAATAAGATTAATAATAACAGTGCCGTATTTATAGAAGGATATTTAGGACATATGTGCTAAGTCCACTTGATAATGGGGACCCCAACAGTATGATTTGGGAGATGTTAAATTTAACTGATGAGTTTTTTTTTATTTTTTAGGGCATACTTATGTTTAATTATAATATTTATACTGAACAATTGAAATAGTAAATAACCACCCAAAATGAGTGTTTAATATACAAATTAAAGTTCTAAAGTCCAAAAAAGACATGCCCTATATTTTAAAAAGTAATTATTAGGATATTAAAGTGTCTAGACATTTGTTAGTCAAGTAAAAAAAATTTTTAAAAATTAAAAATTAAAAATTAAAAATAAATAAATAATTTTTTACTATATCAATGCCATATTTGTTAACTACTTCGCTTTTAACGTAGCCAGTTAAATCCCCATAGTGCCGTTCATTGAGTCTCCACGATTCTTTTACCGGTATACCAGACCCATCAATACATTTCTTTATTATGTTTACTGTTTGATTTGCTCTGGTTAGAAATGACGTAAAAATTACATCTATTTTATAACCTGCATCTTTTATTAATTTTCCACACTCATGAGCCTGAGTTTTTCCTAAAACAAATTTTATTATAATAAATATCAGGGTTGTGAAAAAACGGTTTTTGTTTTGTTTTATATGTTTTTAATTATTGTTTTTTTTATTTAAGTTTTAAACATATCTAATCATTGTTTTAACCCTTCATTGCATAGAAATACATATATGCATGCTTACAAAAGTTGCTTTAAATTTTCATGTACAATAAGGGATTGTCAGAACTGGAGTAATGCTGGTTAACTTGATGAATTTTAATATAACTTAAAAATTATTTGACTAAATATTTTGAAATCCCTTGGAAATTAAGCATTAATATGTTGTTTATATCATGTCAATGTTTCAAGTTTATTAAATTAAAGTTTATTAAAGTTAACAAAAATTAAAAATAAAATTGGCTGGCATTTCTCCTTTATATTACAATTAATAATAATCAATTTTTTCCCTATAATTATATTTGGTAATTTATTCCCTAGATGTGATATAGTTTAAAATAGGGCAAATATCGCGGTACATTTTCAAAAATTGATTTGAAAAAAAAATTTACACGTGTGGATAGTCTCTTTTAAACCCTTCTTGTATTTGAGTTTCTCATAGGATTTTCATAAATAGCATACCAAAAGAAAGCTTATTGTCACTAGTATACTATATTTTATTTATATTAATATTAAAAAATATATATTATAATTTTAAAACGCAGAATTTTTTTTTTGAAAATGCCTTTTTTTACGGTATTGTAATTTGAAATATTTGTCTACATTACTAAAATTCACGGCCATGAACCATAATACGTACGAGCTAAACAGTAGTTGACTTTTTAGTATATACTTTTATATACAGTAATGCCACTGAATAATTAAATTTAACATAATTTAACGTAACGATTTTTATCTAATCGATCCGTCGATGATTACCGTAATAAAAAATAAAATGATAATAATAAAACAACCTAAAAAAGCAGTACGGTATTTGAGATTACCATAGAATAAGAGATAGAGACCATCAACTATATAAAGTAAAAAGTCTAAAGTAACAGCCTTACTCTCTTCTCTCTTTTTTTTAGTGCGTTAGCAGAGTATTGTAGTAGTTAATGAGTAGAGTAGAATAGTGTAGAACAGTATGGAACATAGTAGTGGAGTTTGCTAGTCACTTAGCTATTTAGCACAACACGGTGGAAAGTAAATAAAGAACAACCTCGATTGCTGTATGCTTCACGAGACTTTCAAATATTATTTCGATATTAATATTATTTCTACCTGACTGCAATTTATTTTAATAGCTTATATAAAAACAACGAAAAGGTGAGTCAATTTTATTAACCATTATCATAGATATTAATTACTATAAAAGTTATGATGTTTTTAAATAATAAGCTTATGAGTAGTTGAAATCATTAATGTAAATATGTAATTAATTAATTTTACCGTATTAATATTAATTAATAATTACATAGTATTTTGAATTTAGAAAAGACGAAAACCCTACAAACCCGCCTCCATTAATGACTTTATTTAAAGTTCTTAGTTTCAGTCTACTTGTAGAAAGAAACAATTTAAACTTTCTTTTTTTATTAACCTCTACATCGAAATTTATATACAAATTTAAGAATACTAAATTCATTGAAATTTTGATCATAAAATTATAATTTCTAATTAGGAAAATAATATTTACCTATATCAGTCAACAAAGCGTCATACCATCCACAAAAAATATCATTTTTCGACCATTCACTCTCTCCATGTCTTGTCATAATTACAACTCCTGGTTGGGTTACATCTGAAAAGTGAACTTCTAAATACTTGGAACAGATTGTTTGTTTAAAATAATTACATAATTTTAAAGTGTAATGGCTTTATATAATTAGAATTGATCATTTGAGGTTAATATTATTTAAAATTTAAAATATTAATTCAAAACTATATACTTTTTGATAACATTAATAGTTTGGAAGAGAAGTTAACCTGGCAACTTTTCCTCCAAAAGCACGCCACTGAGGCTAACCATTATAAATGTTAATTTTTATTACAATTTTACGAAGAACAAAATTATTTTAATTTAATTAAACTACAAATTCGTACATACAAAAATTTAAAACTATATTATTGATGTTATAAAAATAAATGTTCAGATATTTTTTTTATATTACTGTTAACAAAATGTATAAATAGAAGTAATATGGCATCCAATAGTATATTGTATAAGTTTACTGTTTAAGTTTACAAATTTTGCCCCAATGCGAAAAACATAAAATTCCTATTTTTAAATCGGTTAATATATAAATAAAAATCAGTATTTTGAATAGTAAGAATTAATAAGTATAGATTTTGGGGCCCTAATGGAACCGCATTTCGTGTATTTCCATATTTACACCACTAGATTTTTTAACTGAAATAAAGGAATTCATAGTAATATACAAGTTTAAAACGACAATTGTGATCGATATAGTAAATTGATCACCTATAAACATGAGTAACATATAAACTATAGAACTATTTCTTGAAATGAAACAATTGTGCACAATTAATCGTTCTTGAAATCGTATACAGAGTGATCAATTTATTAAAATCAACTTGATTACTGATAAAATAAAAATAAGTTTGGGAATATTTTTTTTTTAGTAGCATATATTTCTTAATTTATTATTAATTTTATATATTAAGTACTTTTTCGGTTCATCCTTTATACTTTATAAGGGTGTCAACTTTATTTATTAAAATAACAACATACATATTTAATTAACTTATAAAATAGAAAATGATTTAATTAAAATAAATGTCAGGTCGACAACAAACTATAGTGGAATTTATTAGAATTTAAGAATATAGACTAGAAATGCCGCATGACTATTTTTATCATTAGGCATTTTTCAGCTGCACTCTTCCTTGCGATTAGGCATAAAAATCTCTCAAACATAGTGTTCAAATTGCCCAACTACACTCATTTAATTATCTACACACAATATGATTAAAATATACCTATTGGAGCCTATCACTCGAAACATTCGTTGCCAGTTGGTATCACTAATTAACGCACATTGGCGGTAGTAGTCAAATCGAACACTATCAGTTCGAATACCACGTATTAAGATAAAACGGACTGTGCACGAGGCCTTATCAGGGGATCCGAATTATTATTAATAAAATCAGTTTTACCATCTTATGTTACTGATTATGAAAAATGAAAATTATTTAAATATTGGTTTGATTATTTTAAATATTTAAACATTCATTACAGGCTTTGTTTACCGACGTGTGATCATACAGGAAATAATAGCTTCCACTGTTCAATCAGTTTTCTTTTGTCTCATCGATCTAGTTAGAGCAAAGATTTATATTTTGTATCGACGATAATAGTCTGTGTTGCTCTACCGGTACTATGGAAAATATCTTTTATGTAGTCCTTTTCCCCAATAATCTTTTTAAATGTATTAAATTAATGTACATACAAATTTGTAATAAGTTTACTGTGTTAAATTTATTAATAGTTTTAAGATTGTCGCCAATCTCTGATGAAGAGCGGCATAGTTGAATACATTATACTTTACTTTTAAATTATGATTATAATATTAATATAATAATAATATAAAGTTTATAAATAATTTTTAAGAAATAAAGAACGAAATCTTTTTTAGAAGAACTAGATCTGCAACGAGTTCCTATTTTAGAAAGTGAACAAATAACGAAACAAATGCCATTTATAAAGGAATTTTTCACTGAATCTTCTTCTTTTTCCTCGCCTTAATTCCAACTATTTGGGGTTGCCCACCCTTATCCTAAACTTCCACTTAACACGGTCTCCCACATCATCTACGCACAACAACCGTTCTCATGTCGCATTCAATAACATCCTAGTGTTTTCCAACACTGAGTATAACTACAATTTAAAATTAAATTTTGTTTCCTACAAATGGAAAAATAATACGATCGTTTTATAAATATTCACATTTGATACGTCATGTAAATATATTGACAGAACTTTTTATCACTTTGCAATAATATTATTTAATTTTTTTATCATAACATACCATTGTTACAATAAACATCAAACAAAATTTACTTATTATTATTTTTTTGGAACAATTTCTATTTGTATTTTTTAAATTAAATATCAATTTTGTAAAATATTTATGTAATACTTCTATCTTGAGCTTTAAATATCAATTTTTAATTGTGTAATAATTGTTTTATGTTAAATCTGATAAAAAAAAATTTTGGACTTTATTTTATCTTCACGGTGAAAATGGCTACTGAATGCTATTTTTGTGTGAAAATTCTCTACTTTATATTTTACTTTTTTAACTTTATAATGTTATAACTTATTGAAAAGTGTATGGATCAATACAATATTTTTATGAGAAATAATATTTATATCCCTCTTTCATTCGACATACTTTATCTTAATCGGGCTATAAATAAGGAAATAGTAACTTTTGTATCTATAAATCTTCATACAAAGATTTACATCGAAGCATTATTTATTATAGTGATTTTAATCACTGTCAGATAGAATTTTACTATGCCACGTCACCACTGTGCCGCAACCTCACTGTACTGGGTTTTTTATTTTAATTTATATAAAAATAAATAATCTGCATTTGATCCCTTCTATGGGCATAAAAATATGAAACCTTGCAAATTGAGGGGTGAAACTTTACACTGCTTTACGTTTTAAAAGTTATTTGGCCAGCCTTAAATAAAATTTCTTAATACGCTACAGGACCCATCTATGAAAATTATTAAAATATAACAATAATTGTATTTTTATTCGAATCAATTTGTTAGTTTTTTCTTAAAAGTTAAAATACTAGATTCTACTACCTGAGTTCGTCGCCATGGCAATTTTTTATTTATTTATATATAACGACATTATACGTATTATAATAAAATTAATACAAATGATTTGAAAGGGTTTGTAGGTGTTAATCTAAGATAAATAATGAACTGTTACAACTATTCCTTCTATAATTATTAATATTTGACTTAAATATCGTATCCAGACCAAACTCAACGTAATAACTTATTCGGAAATAAATTTCGTACATTACGTTCTCCTTAATCAGTTAGGGCCTTACAACTTGTCTTTTGTTTTAGTTTATAAATAATCAAGAGTAACAAATAATTCATTAAAAAAAGTTTTATACTTATTTAAAATATGTGTGATAAAAACAAATAATAAAACATCATTTTTTTAACTTGTAACCTAGATGAGGTAAAATAAATACAAGACCGATTCCCTCTTGTGGATAACGATTTATTTAATATTTCCAATAAAGAAAAAAAAATATTAAAAAGAATTGGTGTAGTCAATAATAATATTTATTCAAAAACTATTTTTTTTTAACTGAAAAATCAGAATAAACTTACCATAATTATTATTTATTAATTATCCTAACAAAATATATAAACAAAAATTAATAACACTGCATTTTACAAAATATAAATTTATTTTCATTTTAGTATTTTACACATATTAATGTGTTTAAATACAAAAATTAAAAAAACCCAGCTCAGTGGGTTCGTAGCACAGTTTGGACATGGCATAGTTAATTAGTATATTGATATCTGACAGTGATTAAAATCACTATCATAAAAAACGCTTCAATGCAAATCTGTAGATAATGTTTAATTATAAGAAATTGGGAGATTATATCAATAGCAAAATTAACTCCTATTCAAATATCAAATATAGTAAGACACTAATTTTCTCAGAAATTATTAAAATTATTTAATTTTTAAAAAAAAAAAATTGTAGATTCAAAAAACTATAGTAATATGTGTTAAATCTTTTCAACCCTTCAGGATTAAAACTTAAATTTACATTTCCTATAATGGAAATACCTATTTTTAACTAAATTTTGGTAAGAAAAAAATTAATTTACGCCCTTGACCTGAGAGAGTCAAAAAAGTCAAATCTTTTGTTTTGTCATTAAGATAAAATTTTAAATGCCTAAAATATTTAAAAACGTGTAACATTTTAACTAATTACAGTTATCAAGGTATATATAATTAATAATAAAATCAATGATTATATTTTACTCGAAACCCTATGAGCAAATAGGAGCTGAGGTTTTTAGTCCTTAAAATTTTTGAAAAATTACTTTTATGGTTACATAAAAATATTTTTAAAAAAACAAAAATTACATTTAGCATCTTCAACTATTTTGTTCTATTTAGCCCTTGCTTATAACTTTAAATTATCTTTTTTTACTATTACCTTTAGAAAAAACAGTAAATGCAACTAAAAAGTATATAGCTAATGAGTGTAACATCATCTGAAAACAAATCATCACTTCTACGTCTATTTTAATAAAAAGTAAAATAATATTAATTATAGATTACTGATAATTAATTTTAATATTTAAAGACATAATGAAACACAATGAGATAAAAAACTATTATATACGTACATTTAAAAACACATTTCTAACTTTGTTAGTTATTTTAGTAAAAAAATTGAAGTAGTTACTTAAAAAGAATTGCAATAAATTAACTGAAGAATAAATATTTATTGTATTCTGAATTATAGAATTTAATAAAATAAAAGACTATATTTCTGTATTTATATATCTGTAAAAAAAATCGTTTTCACTATAAATTACAAAAACCATATTTGCACAAAAAGTATACACGTATTTTAAAATATAAAACCATTTCGTTTTACTAACGATAAAATTATAATAAAATTACAATGAAAAACAGTTCCATATTCTAGAAAAGAAAATATTTTTCAGTATTAAAAAATTATATAAGTATTAATAAAATAACAATAACAAATATCTAGTCATTATACAACTACTCTTATATTTTATACAATTTACGAATTTATGTACATTTATACATATTTTATTTTTTTACTTTTACACTAATTTTAATTTATTTTTTTTAAAGTTAATATGTATATATATATATATATATATTTAAATGTTTTGTGGTAACCTAAAGAATGAACTATATTCAAAACTAGTAGTAACCAGATAATTTTTTTACATTCGAAAAGTATTTATTTTTAAATTATTAAAAAAAATATATTAAATTGTTTTAATAAAATTCTTTATAAAAATAAACTTACATTTTCGAAAATAAAGTGTTACATATATTTTATATAATTTTATAAATGAATTTTAAAAAGCATCTTTAATCGTGTTTTACGAATAAATTTAAAGAATGCATCTTTAAACGCATTCTGCATTTAATAAATAAATACTATTATAAGTATATAATATACATACATTCACTTGATATTTAAAATATAATTTGCGTTAATTATTAAAAGTATAGTTCTTCAAAGAGGTAAGCTGTATTTGACCTCGAATTTTGTGTGAAAGGCTTTTAATATAAATTTAATGTTTTACGATATAAAATATAAATGTGAAAATATGATAATATAAATATACCTAATAATTTTTAATTATAAAATTTAATTATCAACTAGTGGTTGATATAGTTTAAGAATTGTATATTATATATATATACTAATACTATTTAAAATAATTTTTAATATTTAATTAAAAATTTTTCTTTGTAAATTTCAATCATTTTTTTAAACTTATTCATGTTTTGTATAACAACATAATTAATTGTAATAATATTTATTATAATAAATATATTTTATTAATAAAAATATATATGGAATATTTTTTTTATGATCCTAAGTCAATTAGGGGATGTCATTCAAGCTGGGGGTCTTAGCTCCCCTCTTTCCGATTATAGCTACTTCTATGAATAATTGATTTGTTTAATAAATTTAATTAATTAAAACGATTTTAATTCAAAATTATATTTTATGTAAATATTATGTTTGTCTAAAATGCAAGTGTAATGGTCAACCCTTTCTATTGTTAATAATGACCGTCCGTTCGCTAACGGATGGTTCCTATTCGTTGTGAACGAACGTTTTTTATTATTCTAAACAGTCGTCCGTTCGATATTTCATACGTACCGAACGTATTCATGAACAACGTTCGCCATATAAAATAAAATCTCCACGTATACGTTAGTGAACGGACGATTTAAAAATAGACCCCCAGGTCTTTGCAGGTGCGGTTCCAGAATAAATTTTTGGAAAATAATTTCAATATTTCTATTAAAGTATTAAGATAGTTTTAAGTCAAAAAGAGAATTTTTTGAAATAAATAATTATAATTTTAGAGGGGCTCATGTTCCTCCTTTGTATTCACGTCTGGGTCGTTGTTTGTAGTACGATTTGAGCCATTTTGGATAACATTTTTTGTTCATTATTATTATTTTCATTTCTATTTTCTACTATGACCTTTAAAAGAATAATATTGTATTGTGTTTTATTCTATTATATTTAAAGTCACATCCCCACCATCACTGAAATATGTGTAATATATTTATGTATATGTAATAATCATGTCGCTTATAAAACTGAACGATTGAATATGTAGATTATGTGTTTGGTATTAAAAGTTTTTTTATTATGACCTTTTATTGGAATATATTTTTATAATAAAAAAATCTAGGGTTTATAATTACTTTTGTCAATTATTATGATTTTTATAAGTTCTAAATAAATTCAGGAGTAAATCAGTATAACATACAATCGATCTAAATAAAAAATTAATATGCAGTTACTAAAATTTTTTGAAAATGATTGATAATAAAAATATGTAAGTGTAGAGTATTGAAAAATATATTTTGATTTGAAAAAACTAATAATAAATCAATGATGCAGTCTATTTTTTATTCTATCAATTTGCAAGCGTTATTATAATACGTAAGTTGTAAAGTATAAATAATAAAATCATGTTTTCTGAATAACACCTACAGTTACTACTTGGTAAATAATATATAGCTCTGAAAATGACAAATATTTAATTTAATAAATATAATAAATTAGGGAACAGTTTCCTTTTTTTATTCGTTGTTTACTTTTTATACAATAATATGAATTAAATTTTATGTCATAAAATTTCATTCATATTAAGATATATGGTCTGAAAATGTTCCAATTAAAAATATTTTTTTAACAATATTTCATTGCTTAGTCTTCCACCTTATAAATAATATATTTTTTATGTTGAATCATACTGAAATTGAAATTTTATTACTATGGAAAAAAAAAAGGAGGGGAAGTTTGGTGGACATTTAGGATAGTTTTTCGTTACGTTATAATGATATATTTTCATCATTCATAAGTTAACTTAAACATGCTTAAGTTTAAATTAAAAAATAAAATTTCCTATAATTTTTAGCTTTGACAAAAATTAATGTGGACGGATAAAAAAAAAATTTATGTTTGAACTTGGTTTAGTTCTATATAAATAAAAAAAACGGTAGCACAATGTGGTTGCGTCACAGTATAGACGTGAAAAAAATTATTTTGGTCTGTTCATTTTTCAAAGTTATGGCAGTTTAAAGTACCAAAAAAACATTGATTTTTACACGAAATTTACATTTTTTAATCAATTTTGACGGTAATTTGCACATAGAAGATAGGTCGTCGGGACAAATGTTTTTTGTTTAACTTATAGTACATAATTTAAACATTAATTTAACATAAGTTTAAAGGACGCAGTATTTCTGAAACATTTTCAAAAATTAAGTTAAAAAAATGTCTACTTTTTATAAGAATGTTTCGAGTTTTGAATGCCCTCTGTATAGGGGAAATTGTCCGATTTCAAAAAAAGTGTGAAGAATGGGGTATAAATAATGTATTTAAAAACAAAAATTTGTGTTGATATATACACCAAAAATGTATAGCCATTTAAAGTTGAAAATTTAAAATCGAAAATTTTAACACAAAAGTAGCGTTTTTTTAACTACAGTAGATATTTGCATGTAGAAGATAAATCGTCGAGACAATTTTATTTTTTATTTCTAGTGCATAACATAAGCTTTAATTGGACATATGTTTAAAGGACGCAGTATTTCTGGAACATTTTCAAACAAAATAAAAATGTTGAAAACGTTGAGTTTTGTAGAAATGTTTGGTTTGTTTATTCCCTCTTGTGTGCAGGTAAAGGATCAGTTTTTCAAAAATATATACAGTATGTCAAATAAAAGGGAAAAAAATATTTTGATTTGTACATTTTTCAATAAATTATGACAGTTTTTAGAAAAAAAAGGGAAAAATACCAGCACAATGCGATTGCGGCACAGTGGGTACAAGGCATAGTTGGGTCCAGTATTTGACAGTAATTAAAATCAATATCATAAGAATCGCTTCAATGAAAATCTGTAGATAGCATTTAATTTTAAAAAATTGGTGAATTATTACAAAAGCTACTATTTCCTTATTTATATCCTGATTAAGATAAAGTATGTCGAATGAAAGAGGTATATAAATATTATTTCTCATAAAAAAATTGTATTGATCCATACACTTTTCAATAAGTTATAGCATTATTAAGTTAAAAAAAACCCAGCACAGGAGGGTCGCGGCACAGTGGTGACGTGGCATATATGGATCAAGTATAATTAAAATCACTATCAAAAAAATACGCTTCGATGCAAATCTTTAAATAGTGTTTAATTTTAAAAAATTGGTGGATTATTCCAAAAGCTACATGATCTGCTAGTTCCTTATTAATATCCTAATTAAGATAAAGTATGTCGAATGAAAAAGGGATTATTAAAAAATATTATTTCTCATGAAAAAATTGTATTGATCCATACACTTTTCAATAAGTTATAGCATTATAATGTTAAAAATGTAAAAAATAAAATCGAGAATTTTCACACAATAATAGCATTCGGTAGCCATTTTCACCGTGAAGACAAAATAAAGTCCGAAATTTTTTTTTTT